ATCTGGATTTCTGGAGTGGCATAGACTGGGAATGCCATGGTGAGTTATCTGTAGCTTGGTGAGCCTACCAGGACATCCAGGGAAAGTTGCAACACACAGATGGGCTCATGATTAAGGGATGGATCTGACCACTGGAGCTATGGCACAGGTGGTAGATGGTAGTTCAGTGAAGGGCAGAGAGAGGGTAATTCAGAATGATGGGCAAGAGGAGCATTAGGCAACTCAGCACTAAACCCTTCTTTCCCTAACTAATTTCCACACTAGAATTTTATTGCCTTTGTCTGCACACAGAATCTACAGATTGAGATTTCACAAGCATGAGATGTTGACAGAGGATTTTGGCTTCTCAGTACTACAGGATTACAAAGAACAAGTAATAGCTTCTGCTAATACAAGACAGCATGGTTACGTTGACTGTAGCTACCTCACTGGCTTACACAAGACTTAATCAAATACACCACACGTTTTATTTCACTCATATTTTTCCTTACCACTGGGGTCTCAATGTTATTCAAGACGCTGACAAGAATGAAAATCAACATAATGTCAACCACAGCTTCAAAGTCTGTCTGTCCACAGCCCATACTCCACTCTAATTTAATTTTGTAAGATTTATCTGAGCCTGATGTAACCAAATTAATCATGCAGAGCACTGACCTATCCTACCCCAGGCTACTGTGTCCCACTTTGCTTGTTTATTTGAAAGGTAATCTAATTTGCTCCAAATGTACTTATCTAGCTGGAAAGCAAACTCTGATAAGTACCTCAGAAGGAATAAAGTTTTCCAGAATGCATGGCTCAGTGAATCCCTTTGTCTAAGGAACGCAGAATCTATTTCATTGTTGGTTTTGATCTGCACTGGAATTGCTCGCCTGCTCCCTGCTCTTTGTCTCAATATATTTCTGAAGCACAGTTAAGCTCCTAAGTTCCAGTCAACTTAAAACTGAGTAGAATGCACCAGCCCTTTTCCTCGGGGTTTTCCATTAAGACCTTAAGAAACTATGGAAAGCTGCTGGGTAACAACCTACTGCCTGCAAGGTACCTTTGGCACATGAGAGTGAAATCCTGACAGATGTTTGCTAGCACAGTGCTGAAGTACAACAGCCCACTGAGCAGCCAGCAGTGGTTTAGCCCAGCTTTGTAATACAGAAGACTCAGAGCATGACACATTGCCCTGAGTAGCAAGGGGGAAAGAGACACTGTGGAGGTCTCATGTTCCTTAATAAGTACAAGCCCTACCAGTGCTGAAATTATTAGAGGACAACACTATAATTAACTTTCTTCTAGGCACCAGCTGTCTTCTGGCCCACTCCAGGCTGTTGGGCCTTGCTCACCTTTGCCTCCCAAGCCTTATCTTGCACTTCAGCTTTGTTTCAGCAGTGTGGTGAGGGAAGGAGCAGAGACACTTCTGCTTCCCATGCCACAGTCCCTAGCAACACTGCCTTCTTATGCCATGAGGTGTAGGAGAACAGGGCTGAGATGGGGTGTGTGCAGGTGTACCTAGGGGCAGGGACAGCAGATGGATGGTCCCAACCAGACAGAAGTTGAGCTGGGAAAGGATGAGGGACTTGTGCTGAACTCAAGACATGTAGCCTCTTTGTATCATGGCAAATTCCACAGGCTGGGTCCCAAACAGAGATTTTACAATGGATGAAGGCAACCTTCTTGGAAGTCCCCATCTGGCCTCTTTCCCCAAGGCTCAGTGGTGCTGCAACACATGGTGGTGGTGTGGTGTTCCCTTTCCAGTTTCAGGACTGTGGTGGAGTCCTGAAGGACTGAAGGACTCATGGACACAAGCATCATCAATCAAAACTACCAAAGCTCCCAAATCAAAACTACCAAAGCTCCCAAATCAAAACTACCAAAGCTCACCAATCAAAACTACCAAAGCTCCCTGTCTGCTTGACTAACCCTTTCCATGCTGACACATTTAGTGGCTGAACTGTTACAAAGCTACTGAAATGACCAGAAAGAGTGCCACAGACACATGTCTATGAAAAGACAATACTGGAACTATGTTTTAGCAGAGAACTGTGATGCTTCCAGAATTCAACAAAAGCTGTGTGACCAGTATCTGACCACCAGGGACTGACAAAATGCTGACAGCAGAGAATGGACTGACAAAGGTTGGATTCTGCAACTGACTGTCTGTCTGCCTGACATCTATGGAAATAAAACTGTATGAGGCTCCTGTCCACTAGCCCCAGCTTTGATGGGGGGCACAACTTAATGGCATGTAAACAACCACTTGGATACTTCTGCTATTTTAAACTTCTTGCTCTCCTATACTCTGTTCTGTTTGTAGAGATTAAACAATTTCTTGCTTTGCTGTACCTGTTTGTACTGTGTTTGACACAGGTCACAGACCCCTGAAGCGATTTGCAAGGGCTGAATACAGGGCCCTGTGCTCACTAACATGGCCAATACAGAGGCTGCCACAGCCCTGGTCTCTTCTAAGGTGAGAGCCTCAGAAACATGCAGAAACAAGACACCAGGCAGAAAGGGAATTTGGTACTAAACATCCCTGAAAATCCAGCAGCAGATTACATTTCTAAATGTAGTTCAAGGGATACCTAGCTTTGAACATCTTTCGCTCATTTACAGTCAAGAAAGGAACTTGCTGGTGATTCAGTGGGAAAATCAGCCCTCAGCTATGAAAGATCTCAAAAGAAAACAGGGAGAAAATAGGAGGTATGTGTGCTCATTGTTTGCAGAAGGAGTGGACTATAAGAAATATGGCCCTTTCAGCCCCACATACCAATGACTAGATAGCACCATCACCACCGGCAATACTAAAATTTTGGTCTGTATCCTGAAGTCAGCAGGGACCTCCCATGAAGGATGCCAGATAGCCAATAATGCAACCTGCACGAAAAATAGGGAGGAAAGGTTGAAAAATCAGTCATGTTGTCGCATTATTTTCCCTCTTTCCAACCACCTCATGGGTTTCAACACTTTCAACAATTGGGGACTGAAAGGTAAAACATACACAGCTATTCTTCCCAAGAATGCCAAGGCAGTGGAAGGATTTAAAAAATGGTTTATTTCAGATGCAAGGACCACTTTTTTACGACGCAGCTCATCTGACCTTCACGGCAAAAGGCAAAGCCCCTCCTCCTCTAAGGCTTTTTGTATCTTCTCTCTCTCCTCCCCCACCCTCTCTGGCCCAAGGACACCTTGCACACGTCTGCAAATATGTTATCTCTCTGCATATCAGAGAACAAGGCTGAAAACTTCTCTTGCTATGCGGAGGTGGGGTGAAAGCATTGAAACTGCCTTTGAGAAAGAGCCACCACCTAGGCAGAAAGCCTTCCTAGCAACTTCCTAGTTCTAACTTTCCGTTGCATATTCTTCAGGAAATATATCTATTCCTATAGGGATCTACATCCACTTGTCCTCCCTGTTTTCACCTGTTTGAGAGGAGGCCTTCTACCATACAGCATCTTTGCAGAGTATGGCTACATGAAATAATCCCTGCTGCAGCCCTCATCCAGACAACTGGACTGACAACAGGGAGATGTGTGACTTGTGTGCATGCTAAAGCTGTAGGATGGCCGGCTGAGAGCACAGCAATAGCTGTCCTCCACCGTGTTTGTAGAAATGACAATGGATAAAAGGGAGAGGAAGGGTGAGCTGACCAAAATAGGCAGTCCCGTCGTCAGCCCGTCCGGCTGTAGTCTGGTGCCCTCCTACGGCAAGCTGGGGCAGTCGTCCTGAACTCCAGCTCTCCGCATTACTAAAATGGACCGAGCTCAGCTGCTGGTTCTGGCTGACAGAAATTACAGCTTCCAAACACCCAGTTTGCCATTTCGTTGTTAATCTGAAGTAGAAAATCAGCACCCTGGGGCACTCAGCCTCTCTGTCCTGCCAGGGAAGCCTTTGTGGAGGGAAAGGACTGTGTGCTGCTCAAGGAGCAATTGCTATCCTGAGCCTGCGTATGCCACTGCTGGTGTTGAACAATACATCCCTGCAGAGAGGGTGCAGATCTGGAGCTCTTCTCCCTTAGTGACACCTTTTCATTGCTATTGTTGGGGGTTTTTTCTAGTATCCGTATCTTGGCAACACAGGAGCTGTTGACTTGCAGGCCCACAAGATCGTCATGAAGTTCAACAAGTCCAAGTTACAAGGTGCTGCACCTGGGTGGGGGCAATCCCAGGCATGAGTACAGACTGGGAAAGGAACACATCAAGAGCAGCCATATGGTGAAGAATTTGGGGGTTCTTGTGGATGAAAAGCTGGACATGCCCCAGCAACATGCTCTCAGCCCAGGCAGCCAACTGGGCTGCAACAAAAGCAGCATGGGCAGCCGGTCAAGGGAGGGCATTCTCCCCCTCTACACTGCTCTAACCTGGAGTGCTGCATCCAGCTTTGGGGGTGTTGGCATAGGAAACACATGGACCTGCTGGAGTAAGTCCAGAGAAGGCCACAAAGATGGTGAGAGGTTTGGAGCATCCCTGCTATGGAGACAGGCAGAGAGATTTGGGGGCATTCCACCTGGAGAAAGGTCAGGGGGAACCTCATTGCAGCCCTCCAGTACCTTAAGTGGGCCTATAGAAAGGAAAGAGAGGGACTTTTTATACCAGGATATAGTGACAGGACAAGGGGCAATGGTTCTAAACTGAAAGAGGGCAGGTTTAGATTAGATATTAGGAAGAAATTCTGAAATTCTTCACTGTGAGGGTGGTGAGGCACTGGCACAGGTTGCCCAGAGAAGCTGTGGATGCCCCATCCCTGGAAGTGCTCAAGGCCAGGTTGGATGGGGCTTTGAACAACCTGGTCTAGTGGAGGTTGTCCCTTCCCGTGGCGCGGGGGGTGGAACCAGACGCCCTTTAAGGCGTCACCTCCCCGCCCACCCCACGGGCCCGCGCGGTGACGCCGCCTGAGGGAGGACACGGCGCGGCCGCTCCTCCCGCCCGCGTGGGGGCGCTGCCGCGCGGCCGCGGACTACAGTGCCCAGCATGCCCCGCGGCCCGGCCGGAAGTGGCGGCGGAAGCGGCGGGCGGGGGCGCCATGAGAGGCGGTGGGTGCTGCGGCGCCATCCGCGCTCTGGCCGGCCCGCTCCGCATCCCTGGCCCCCTCCGCATCCCCGGCCCGACCCTGACCCCGGCCCGGCTGCCCCCGGCTCCTCACAGAGGTGAGAGGCGCCGTGCTCGGCCCGCTGGCAGCCCCCCCCACCGCACGGCGGCAGCCTCCGCGCTGCGTGAAAAAAGAACGTTTGGAATTGTTTTTCAGTATTTGTAGTATTCAGTGCGTCTTAACTCTAAGTACAGGCATTAATTCGGATTCTGTGGCTGGTTGAGGTAGAGCCAGTTCTTTAGAGTGCTCGTGACTTGATTTATCTGGTAGTGGCACGGTGTAACTTCCCTGATGTTTAAATGGTATAAAGCTTTTCAGTAGATAAGGTGCAGAAGAGCAACGTCTTGTTCAAGGCAGGCAGCCAGCAGTGTGTTAGGTTCGAATAAGAATGGATTTAGAAGTAAAAGGGCTGCTTAGATAACAAAAGAGTCTATCAGAACACAATCTGAAATATTCAAAGCCCCACAAAGATAAGGTGCGGCGAAAGATATGCTTGAAATAGGAATAGAAGCGGTGAAATACCTCGTGGGAAGGCAGTCGCATAATAAATAGGATCTCTAATATCCATTTCTGAGATATTAGGTGCAGGCATCTTATAGCTTTGTTGCCCAGTTACTTTCCTGGTGAACCAGCAGACTCACTCTGAGAGTTAGACTTGCACAGATTTCTAAAAAATAAAAAAATCTGTAGCTTTATCTTCACACGTGGCACTCTCCTTGCTGGAAATGATAGCAACAGAGGAAAATGTAAAAAGAAAGCTATTGAGGAATTCTATGAAAATGGGAGATTTTAGGAAGGAATTCTTTACTGCGAGGCTGGTGAGGCACTGGCGCAGGCTGCCCAGAGAAGCTGTGAATGCCTCATCCCTGGAAGCATTCAAGGCCAGGTTGGATGGGGCTTTGAGCAGCCTGGTCTAGTGGAAGGTGTCTGTGCCCATGGCAGGCGGTTGGAACTTGAGATGGTCTTTAAGCTCCCTTCCAACCCAAGCCATTCTATGACAAGATAACAGTCTGTTGGAGTTAAGGCTCAGCAGTTTAAATAAAAGAGCAGTGAATACCTAATTGCACTTCTTATGTTTTAAACATAAGAAAATTATTTAAGGGATGTTTCCCAAATGTTATGAAACACTTGGCTGAGGTGGGCTCATTTCTGTTGTCTCAGGATGGTTGTCCTTGCACAGACACACTTATCATTGATATATGAGTCCTAGTCAGTACAGATTCCCTATGGAAAAGGGATTGATGGTTTCTGGTGCGTGCTGTAACCCAGCCTTTTGTTGCAACATGCATGCAGCTTTCCTATGATGAAATGAATTAAAATTAGCGTATTGCACGATAAGCCAATCAAGTTAAGTTTAAGGCATGTTTTGTTACTTGCAGGTTTTGCTGCCACGTTCATTAGGAAGTCATATGATGTCAGAAGAGTCGATATCACTCCTCTGGAGCAGAGGAAGGTAACTTTTGATACCCATGCTTTAGTGCAGGATCTGGAAACCCATGGTAAGTGATATCTGATTCAAAGGAAAACTTTTGGTTCTAAATACTGTAACTTTCAGTGCTGTCGGTTTCCCCAGAGTATCAGTACTCGGTGGTATAAAATATTTGGCAGCCTGTCGAGGAGGCTGGTGAAGGAGAGGCATCTCATCTGAGGATCTGATACGTTACCTTTACCTCATTTGTAGCTGTAGGCAAGTTTATATAGTGTCTTCCAGCTGAGGAACATAATTCAGCTAAAAAATGTAAAGTAAATAACAGTTAAAGACTGTTTTAGAGCAAAAAGGAGGCTTTAATAGATGTTCTTGCTACAGGCCTGCTGATAGTAATTTAAGGTTTTTTTGTAATTAGAAATATTTTCAGCAGCATAGTGCTGTGATACATTTTTAATGCCTGCTCTTCCATATTGCGAGTGTGACTGGCTGAAGTTAGATGAAAGGTCCATCTAGCCCTGGGTTCTGCCTCCTGACAGCAGCTGTGAGTGAGTGCCTGCAGAGGAATGTTAAAGCAGGGCAGATGTCTGTGGCACGTCCCCTTGTACTTTCTAAGCCTCCAGTTGCTGTCACCCTGGAGGTATTTTGGGTCAGGTGTGAGTTTTAGTAACCTTCACTGGAAATCTTTGCACAAGCTTATTCAGTCCCTGAGCCACTATAAACTGATTAGCACCCAAAACATTCTTTCTCATGGAATTTCAGAAACCCTCTCCTTTTTTTGTAATGCAGAATCTGGCTTCTATGAGGTGAATTTGATGCCCACTCAGCTCTTTTGTGGGAAGAGGAAGTGAACATTTGATCCCCCATGTCGCTCATGATTATGCAAACTTCTGTCATGTTCCTCCATCATTCTTTTTCAAATAGAAGAATCCTAGCTTGTTGCATTTTTCCTTGAGCAGTAGCTTTTCCGTGTTTTTGATCATTCTCAATGTCCTTACTGTTAATAATTTTGACATTCCATTTCACAGGGGAGGGAACACAGCTGCTGGCATTACTTGACAATTGAATGTCCTGTAGATTTGAACAGTGATGTAAAGTTGTGTCTATTTTGTTCTCTGTTCCTTTTCTTAGTAATTCCTAAGAGTTTGATTTGCTTTGTTAGTCCTTAATAAGCCTTGAGCTGATATCTTCATTAGACTAGCAACCACCTTGTAAAATCCTGAGTGACAGTAGAAACTTAATACAGTTGGTGGTTGGAACTTCATACAATTGGAGGTTAGGATTTTTCCCATTATTTGGGTCTAATAATAATATGTGTTAATAGTTAAAAGACTAATAATAGTCTGCTAACAGTGTTTATTTTTTTCATGCCTGTCAGACTTGACAGCTTGCACTTCCCTACATCTTTCTAGAACTACTTTTAAAAACTGGCATTGTTATTTCCCAGTCCAAGGTAGGCTGGGAAATGTTACTTGTGCCCAGGACTGTTTCGGCTATTTCTTCATCACTTTCCTTTGGAACTTGTGGGGTGAGGTCTGTCTGGTGTTGCTTGTTACTCAATTTAATTTGTTCCATAACTTTACAAATATTTCAGTAGCACAGTGGCAGAGCTCCATAGGTGAAGCCTGTACACACCACAAAAGTGAGAAAGCATTTTAGTTTTTCCCAGGCTTGCTTCGGACAGTTTTTAGGCTCCATTCTCTTGCTCATAGGAATTGTCCCACATTTTCTAAACATCCACGAAACACGAGCAGTTCCTGCTATAGAGGAAGAGCAAAATAAGGAATTGGCAAAAGCCTAATTAACCCTGAAAATTCAGAGGAACTGAAGCAATACTGTCACACCTCTTAGTGGAAGGAAGCTGTCATAAAGCATGCATACCTTCCTTAGTCATGTAAGCCAATGGTGCAGCTTGACAATACCAGTATTTTGGAAGGGGGCAGTGCCATAGTTCTCTAAATAATTTGCCTTGAAAGTCTTTTTCAACAAAATGTTCATTGAACCCATTTTATAAAATGGGCCAGTTGAAACACATCAGTGCGATTGCTGGAAATAAATCTTCAGGGTAAAAGCTCTCAGCACTTGACCAGATGAAAGTGATTTTTTTTTGTTTTTTCACTATTCACATCATACAGCACTTCAAAATTGCACCAAGCTATGGACAAAGTGTAATTTTTATCATCAAAAAGCAAAAATCCCAGTTTGAGTTCGTTCTACAAGCAATGGATACAGCAGTTTTAAAATGAGTTTTGCGTGTGTTCATATCTATGCAGAACAATTCCAGTATGGGCAGAATTACCTGTTATTACTCTGTAGGATGCATGCTTTGTAGCTCAAGGTAAGTTTGGCTTTAACAGAATCTGTGGAAGTTCATTATGAAGTAAAGTTTTCCTGAATTATTTTTATAATGCATGAACAGTTAAGCCTTGATCAGAAATTTGGTCTTTCTGTCAGCTACATGTATAGACTTTTAGTATATTAAAAATTAATGTGCTTCAGATTTTTGCAGTCAGTGTTTTTTGTAGTTAAATGTCACAGGGACTGTCTCCTGGCTGTCAGTTTTCAGGAATTGTGTGAATTCCCATGTACCACTGTAGTTAGGTATGGTATTTGAGTGGTCCAGGTTACTGTGTAGCTCTTGCTCTTCGTCCAGATTTTGGTAGCACCTTAACTTGCCATACTTCTGTTGTCCTCTAGGCTTTGGGAAGGAGCAGGCAGAGACCATCGTGTCAGCACTAATAACCCTGTCGAACGTCAGCTTGGACACCGTCTATAAGGACATGGTGACGCAGGCTCAGCAGGTAAAAACCAGTCTGTGGTGTGTAGCTGTAACAGCTCATACTTGCATCTTTAAAGCACAGGTGAGCAGCTCTTGCTAGTACTATGAAGACCTCACTGTGCCAGGTTTTCCCAAGTTTCACTTGGGGTTTTAAATGATAGTTAAATGCCCTGACCCAGCTTCCACTGAAGTCTGGCTGCTTTGTTGAACACAGTGAAGTTTTTGCAATTCCTGGGAAAACTTCAGTTGTATTTACACCGAGGAGCCTCATCCCATCTTGAAATATTCAGTCTCAACACTGACTACACAAAAAAAATCAATGCTTCTGCCTAACACAATTCCATTATATCCGGGTTACTGACTGACTTTGCATATAACAGGATTTCCAAAAAGAAAGGTTTCCATTTTGAGGGGAAAAAAATAAAGAGACAGAAGTTCTTGTCTTCTTCTGAGATTTAGGGGAAGAAAAGAAATTTAAACAACATTTACTAGAAATAAATGCCTGTAAGATAAAAATCTGTTGGAAGAAAGGCTAGGCAGATTAAATAAAATAGCAGTGAATGCTTAATTGCATTAAGTAATTGAAGAAGAATGGCACGTGATTTCAGCTTGCACAGCCTTCCTGAGTAATTATTAACGCCATCACTGTGCATCAGAGCTTTGTTATCCAGCCTGGATGTCTACCCTACAAGAAAAACTAAGTTCTTTTTATTTGGTCAGTTTGCTAAAGCAAAACTTGTCACCACCTCTGCTATCAGCAGGAAAGCCAGCCATGCTGCTTAACTGACCTACTACCTCCAGGTGTGTCCACAGACATGGACTTGAATACCTCAGTGAAGGAAATGCCCCAGTGCTTTGCTGGAATTCACACCAAGGTGCTGACCTGGCCAGTGCAGACAGCCAGGTGTCCCCAAGGGTACGTGACACAGCGCAGACTACGTCCGGGTGGCTGAAACCTCTGCCTCCTAAATCAAGGTGGCTCTGTCCACCCCATCTGGTGGGACAGTCCTGACCCTGTACTTTCACATAAACTGTGCCTAGGTCAGGGAGGCAGAGCTGCCACAAGTCAAAACCAAACCAGACACTCCAGTGACTGTGGCCAGCCATGCTGCTGAAGTTTTTCCAGGAGTTGTAACAATTCCATTGTGTTCAGTGGTCAGACTTCAGTGGAAGTTTGGTCAGGGCATATTTTAATGAATTTAGTTCAGTGCAAAATCTGAGAAATACTGTTGGCTTGTAGTCTGAGTGAGAGCTCTTCATTTTGCTGGTTCTCAGCTTTAAAAGCAGAATCCCACAGCGATACGTCATTGTCATTATGACATTTCCATAAATAATAGGGTAGCTTCCTTATGGTGGCTGAAGGAGTATTATTGCTTTCGAGATTCTAAAGTACTGCATTTCTTCCTTTATTTTCTGGGGGTTTTTTTCCTCTTTGATTTCTGAACTTGTTAGTTCAAACCCCAGGAAGACTTCTCAGTGCTTTTTTAGCCCTGTTTTTACATGTGTGTGACTTCACTGCGGAGAGGATGGTGTGATACTTCTATCAGTAAGACTTGGGCTTTTGATGAGTTTGTGGGCAAGAAGTGGAAGTGCTTATTAGGAGCTGCATTCAAACCAAAAATTAATGCTTCTGAAGCTACTGAACATTCACTGAAAATGGAAGAGACTAAAGGACTAATCTGTAGTTACACGTATATTTCATTTCATAACTACTTGGACTAATACCTCTGGCCTTTTTTCTTAAATTCAAAGCTGGTGCATTAAAGCAACAGAAAGAGCACAAAATGCAAACCTTTTGAGTCTTCCAAACAAATTGCAGCTATAAAATTCTGTTTCTGTCACTTCCTTACTGGGAGACTCCCCACTTTTGTGCTTTGGAGTAGCTAATTTCATCATTTCAGACCTAAAAATCTTTCCTTTACTTGCCAGAAAGTGTGCAACATAATCAATGGCATATTTTATTGTTCCAAAGGAAATAACTTTACAGCAGATAATGGCACATTTGGACTCCATTCGAAAAGATATGGTCATCCTGGAGAAAAGTGAATTTGCAAACCTGAGAGCAGAGAATGAGGTACTATTACATATTTTTCATTAAGCAGTTAATTTGCAATATATGTTGGGACTTACATGTTGTACCTTTTTGTGAAACAAAATATGAATGTAAAAATAATTCTGGATACTTCCATCAGAGTTGAAGAGTTTATAGATTACAACTTCTGAGATCACATAAAAATATATTTCACATAAGACTTGCTCAGGTTTTCTGTAAAGAAAAAAGATCTACAGGTCTTACAATCATCTTTTGTAATTTTATTTAAAGGTAATTCTGGTCATTTGTGGCCATTAAACATACATTGCAGAGAGAGGAGTCAGCCGTTTCTTTAAAACAATTTAATTAAGCTGGTGATCGAGATACATTTTGCTTTTACTTGATGGCACTTTTTATATTTTTCTGCTGTCTTTAGTCTCAGAATAACAAGATCATAATTTTTAGAAAATAATCTCTTTATTTTGAGCCAAATTGCGAGAATTGCCAGCAAATTATATGTGGCTGTACAATTAAACACGTTATTGAGGATATTTAATCAAGAAAAAATTGCCCCATTGGGAGACAAATTAGGGAAGAATAATTGCATGCATGCAGTGGTAACAGTTACATGACTGATTTGGTTAGCAACTTCCTGAGTTTGTAAAATCTTTCTTTTTTTTCTCTACATTTAGAAAATGAAAATTGAATTAGATCAAGTTAAACAGCAGCTAATGGTAAGTAAATAGCAAGTACCTACACGCCCCGTTAGGTAAAGTAAATAGTTATTTTCATAATCTTTATTTTTTTAAAGAATGAAACTGGTAAAATCCGAGCTGACAGCAAGCTGGACATAAACCTGGAGAGGAGCAGGGTGACAGATATGGTAAGCTGGTCTGCAAAGATGCCCTTACCAGTTCTGTGTCATGTTTCTGTTACTACACTTATAATTTACCTTCCATCCACAGTTTACAGATCAGGAGAGGAAACTGATGGAAGCAACTACAGAGTTTCATAAAAAAGTAAGTATTGAATAAAGCTGATTTATAGTCATCAGGATACAGTTACACATTGCATTTTACGTACAAACTTTCGTGGAAATTATTAGGGCTTTGGATATGGTTAAGCAAGAGGCTGGGCTGTATCACTCATGGCTGTTGCAGGTGTTTCTTGCCTTAGAGATGAACACCAGTCATCAGAGGGAGGCATGCAAGTCTTTTCCCTCGCTTCCCAAGTACCTTGTTGCAGGCTGTAACGGGTGGGATGTGCGCTGCCGTGCTGCTCCTTCCCAGTGTTAACTGAGGAACTGTACCAGAGGGATGGTCCAGGTGCCTGCATCCAAGCATTTCAAGGGCTGGAAGTCCTCAAAAGCTGCTAGATGGTACCAAAGTCTAAGAGGCTGAAGAGGGACTTGTCCCATCTCTCCAGCATCTCCTTCCTTTTTGGGATATGGCTTGTGAATGCTTAAACCTTTGTTTTTCAAAAATGTAGGAATAATGTTCTGTAGAATGTCTCCTTTAGGATGCACTGCCATATCAGACAAAAGTCTGTATCATAAGGGTGGTGAGACACTGCAGAGGTTGCCCAGAGGGGATGTGGACTCCCTGTCCCTGGAGGCATTCAAGGCCAGGCTGGATGGAGTTCTGAGCAACCTGGTCTGGTGGAAAAATGTCCCTGCCCATGGCAGGGGAGTTGGAATTAGATGGTCTTTAAGGCCCCTTTCAACTCAAACCATTCTGTGATTCTGTGATCATCAGAGTTTTCTCTCTTTCTGTCACTTCAGTATTCTTCTTGGATTGTATTAAATTATGTTCCCTGTCTTCTAAGGTCTTTTAGCAGTTAGTAATGTTTTACTCCAGCGATAGGTTGGAAATTCATTTCTTATTGCTAGTAGCAGAGTATTTTAGTTCAGCTTTGCAAAGCTGAAAGGGTTAAACACCATTGTCATTATATGCTGTCTTTTAATTTTTCAGGATTCAAGTACCAACAGCGTTATCTCAGAAATCAGTAATAAAATTGACACTGAAATAGCTTCCTTAAAAACACTCATGGAATCGAATAAACTTGATACCATACGTTATCTAGCAGGTACGTGATAGGCAAGGATGTGAGTGCCAGCACTGTATGTTGGATGTAAAACATTTTATTCAGGAGTATATGCTGAAAGAAGTCAGTAGTAGGAGCAGACAACTGGGATTGGGCGGGGGAAATCTCCCCCCAGCTGGAAAAAGTGTGACACAGAACGCAGGAGCCATTGACGTGGCAGAGTTGCTAAAGAAGTTCTCCTGAGGTCGTCTGGGTTACCCTGAAAGTTTGCTGCCATTTGGAACTGGTCTGAGAGTGATCAGTTCTGCTTCCCATTCAGTCTCCACAGACATACAGTTCAGTGTGGCAGCACTTGTACTTTCCCCTGCCAAGCAGAACAAATCTCAGTCTGATTTGAGATTGTCTTCTCAATATGTACATAACCAGTGAAGTTGTTATTGTGTTGGAGCTGGATAAAAAGAGAGTAATGCCATATATTTGGAAGTGAGAATAAATTCAAAGGGAAACGTAATTAGCTTTATTCTGACACTAATTGAAGCAGCAGCATAACAAATCTGAAAGACAACTTGTCAGGGATGCTGCCTGGATATCCCAGTGTTGTGTCAGATACCTGTAGCATCAGTTCATTGTCATTTGGTTCAGTGGAAAATCATTATCCTGTAGCCTGTGGTGCACTGAGTATCCAGTGTAGCTGTTTGGATGTGTCCCTGCAAACATGGTTCCTCAGGCTGCTGAATTCAGCCCCCCATCTCACCAGCACAGCGCTGCTGTGCAGGGTATGGCATCTAAGGCAAGCCACTGTCTTCTCAAATTGCTCTGTCACACGTGCAGCAATTCAGGAAGTTTAAGAGGCTCTGCTCTAGAGTCATTACCATTTTCTTCCATCTGTTTGCAGCTGATTTCCTCTGTGTATAAAGTGATACATTTCAGCATTCAGCTAATTACTTCCTTTCTTTGTGTTTTTTTTTTAACAGCTTCAGTGTTCACTTGCCTGGCAATAGCACTGGGATTTTACAGGTTCTGGAAGTAGATCTGAATGGAATGACTGCATCTAATACAGACAGAGAAAAGGCCACCCAGACCAACAGTAGTTTGATGATCATGTTTCCACTGTAGACAACCTTTGTACCTTTTGATTTGATATTCTTACTGTATAAGAAAAATGTTTTCTGAATATGTAACACTAAAGATCAAAATAATTGAGGGAAGTAGCCAAATAGTAGTATTTTGTTGTCTCTTGTTCAGTAATGTATTTATTTCAAAGTATTTCTTATCCTATACCACAAAGTGTTTCCTAATATTTTTTAGAATTAAATTTGGTTTTCCAACATTCTCACTCTCAGCTCCTCTTAAAATGGAAATATTAAACATTTTATATGCCCTTGAAATGCAAATACAATTCTCAAATTAGTGTTCCCGGTATGGGGATACTAATACCAGATTCCAGCATATCTTCTCTGAACCAAGGATATTAATCTTAAGCATAGGTTCTGGATTTTTGTCTTCAGTCTGTTCCTCATTTTCTGATGGATTGAAGCCTGGCCCTTTGGGGTTTTTATCTGCATATATAAAAACACACTCCACAGCCTTTACTGAAAAACCCCTTTTTTTCTTGAAAACTGGTTTACGTGAAGTTAAAATCTTATGTACAACTAAAATGTCTCCATAGATTCATTTTCTTTAGTATCTCTTGCAATTTCCATAAACCCAGAAGTCAACAGAATTGGGGAACTTCTCTGTCTTTCCAAGGGGAAATGCCTCCACTCTGAGCAAACATGTACAGCCCCGGGGCAGATAAGTACTCTTAATTTCCCCCCTTGAGGTAGTGCAGAGTATTTCTAATGAACCCACACATATGGAAAGACTCAGCATCTCAGTGGTGCCAGTGTGGTGGTGGTGGTGGTGGTGGTGGTGGTGGTGTCCTCCTCCCATCTCCACACTCCTCGGGACTGTTCTGTAATCCTGACACACTGACCCTCCTGACCCATCTACCTTCTGCAAGGACTTGAAAACTTTTGTTGCGGAGATGCAACATAGCAGGTGAATGCTGTCAAAACTGAAGCAGTCACATCTCAAGTACAAATGCATTACGCTTGGTTTGATTCTTGTAGTAAAATAATAATTTTTAAATAGTCCTTCTGGATTAACCTTGAAATAAGAATTGGCCCTTTATGGGCTAAGGACTATGTAGTAGTGAGTACTGGCAATTTTTTTATTGTAGTCTTATTCTGTTTACAGTTGAATTTGCTGGTATTCTGTGCATTAAATTATTTATCATCTTCATTCAAGAAAATAAAATTAATTTCTTATATTTGCCGTCTGACTATCTGAGTGTTCCTACATGAAAGTTTAGCACCAGTGGTGAGGTAGGAAAGAGCTCATCTATTGCACCTTCTCACCAACATCTCACACACCCTGAAGTGGGCTCTTGAGATTGAATTTCTTCTCTTTAGCTCCGATACAAGGCTTATGCTGTTAGTGTGCCTCTCCTTCACTGTGCATACAAAACCATTGATTTTTATTTTTCAGTACCTCTGATATTCTCAGAGATTGTTTTCTTTGGTACTTAAGGAGAGGACCTATCAGGACTTGAGCACTAAAAAAAAAAATCTGAAAATGAGGGTTCCAAAGGGAAAATAACTTCACAATAGCACACAGAAGAGAGAAAAAAATTTTTATGTGTCATAGTCAGTAAATGTTTTTTTTGGGGAGAGGTCAGGGTTGCCATTTCTAACCATAACATGCCCCATACCCTAGTAAACTCTTCAGCCCTGAGTCAGAGGCCTGATGCTGCAGTTCATCTGTCAACTCACGAAGGAGTCACTTCCTGGCTTCTTTCAGAATGACTTGAAGATGAAAATCAAAGTGCCTGGTACCTGTCAGCAGCTGAGAAGTAATTCTTCTGGAGACTGTATTCTACTTCCACACTGAAGGTCCTATCTGAATATTCTAGGAGGTGATGTGCACTTTTTCCTTTCTAAGGTCACAGTACAAAATAGACCAGGAGACAGAGGTACTTATCTCAGAACTGCGAGGGCCTATGACATTGCTGCTGTTAACTCTTGAAAATGTCAGTTTATAATTTGCATAGCTTTTGCTAAACCACATTTGCTGCTGCTGCATCAGAGAACTAAAACCACAGTTCAGTGAAAGGCAGAGAAACACAACTCATGTGTGCAGCTGGACCATGCAAACACTTGGCATTGTCTGGAGTATTGCCTTTCTACCTTTGCAGTCTCCTGCCCCTCCTTGGAGGGTTGTTTCAGCGTAGCCTCACAAACACTCCTCCTGGGCTGCAGGCTGGCTGCTTCTTGATTTTCTTTTTGTCTTTGCAAGACTTGGCAATTGTCTCGGCTTCCTGAAATAAAGGATATTTCAGCCATTAAACAGCAATCGCTGAGAGGATTTAAAATCTATGGCTATGAGAAACCACAGAACGCTGTGTTCAGACTGAAGCTGGGGGCAGAGCCTAGTCCCAGGGCATGGGATGGCAGCACAGCAGTGTAAGTTGAAGGCCCCTTGGCTGTAGCAGTCACTCAGAGCAGTTCTTGAAAATAAACCTGCCATGGTAGCTGTCTCCAGTCCCAGCCAGTAAACCTAAAGCTCAGCTCGACTTTTTCAGATTGCTGTGGGTAAAAACAACTACAGCCACTCTTCCACCCTAGGAATGGGGCACTCTATGCCATAGTTGTTCCAGATTTTTAAACCTGCCAGGGAAGTATAATGAATCATGTCCTAAAGCAAGCTGTTATTAGGCTGGGGTCAGATGATGACAACATTGTGAAAATTCCTGTCCTTTTTCATGAACCCTAATAATTCGCTTAAAAAGCTCTTTTGTCTGAATCACTCCCTCTGGACCACTGAATACTGAAATACAGTGGTTACACTGCACAGCTGCCCACAGGGGAGTGAATATGGCTCCATCTCACAAGAGCAGATGTTGGGCTGCTTAGAACATTCTTCCAGGATAGGTATTCTTGACTCCTCTAGGCAGATGAAGGAATTAAATCTGAGTTGCCCATGTTGCCAGTGATGAGTCCTTGCCTGACTTTTATCCTGGATGTAGCAAAGCCATACAAACAGTCACATAGACAAGGTAGTGCAAAGGCCAGGGAAGTTAAGTGAAGCTCCAAGAATATCCGTGCCACGTGCCTTTTCCACGGGCATCTTTTCCTTAGAAGAACCAACAGTGTTACTGCACACCAGTCCCCATACCCACAGAGGAAGGAATTTAGCTGCTTCATCCAAGGCTGACGACTTGACTGGATGGTAAAAACCTGAAAAACTTTGTCTGTCACATCAATTTTAGAGAGTTATACTGGCAGCGATAGGTCTGAAATGCCAGCTTGCCTGTCCCCAAAATTAGCAGGTGAACTGATCTATCCTCAAGATTTCATTGTTTGCAAAGCAACAGTTTTTCTGTGGTTGCCTACTAAGCCAACCAGTAATTCATATCTGTCTGTATATTCTTTGCTGTGAGAGGGCTGGATAATTGGGATGATAACAGATGGCACACAAGAACACACTCTGCAATCAGCCACTGCACACATCAATAAAGTCCTGTACTACAGTCCTCCATCAACTCACTTCCCAGTCTGGTGTAAAAGAGAGGAAAACAAACCTGTTTTGAAGGAGTTTTGAAGCAAAAGAAACATCCTAAAGTATGAGCTGCAATTGCTACAAAACCTGCAAGCCAGGGGGTGGGGGCTGACACATCAGGTTGACACCTAATGTGAGCAGCCAGAAAGGCGACCTGGTTAGAAGGGGAAAATTACCAGCAACAAAAACACCAGCTGAAAAATGCTGACAAAGAAAATATCTGCCAGCCAGGGAATTGTGAGGCTGAGAACCAGAAGCATCCTCGAAAAGTGCAGCTGGCCCCTTCGAAGTACAGCTGCGGTACCTAGAATTCAGAGCCATACCAAGATGCCACCAATAAGGCGCAAAAACAAGGTACTGTAGAAGCAATTGACTGAAAAGGTGGAAAATAGTCTGGGAAATAAAAAATGGTCTGAAATAATAGAAACCTCATCATCTATTGGCTATACAAGCTATGCAGGTGAAAAGTAAAAAATTAGAAATGGAAACACCAGCATCTATTGGCAGTTTGCAGTGGTGGTGTCCTCTTCCCTCTTATGTGTCTATGATATAAAAAGGCCTTAATATTTAATTCAAAATGGAGCCTCTCGGTCTGAGAACTGCCCGTGCTACATGTAACTCCTCCTTTCCTAAACAGACTGAATTCTCTGCACAAACTTTCTATGAGATCCTGGACTCTCACTTAGGATGCCTGGCTGACTGTGACGTTAAATCATCTTTGAAGTGAGACCCTGTTATTTTCTTTGCCCCCCTCTGGGGACCCATGGTTATGATCTCTCAACCCACAGGCTGAGCACTGGCTTTAGGTGATGACACCTCTCCTGAGGCACCAGGCCAGTCTCAGGTACCAGGTACCAGCCAAGAGGAACTGCCAGTCACTGTATACGCATGTGGAAGTACTCAGGGATCAGTACACTCCTTTTGTTATTATGCAGAATACTGGTGCTTCTCTGCCAGGATACAAAGAGAAACCGATATCCTTTCACAGCAGAGACACTGTTAGGACAGACAAAGCTTACTTCCATGTCCTAAGCTAAAAGCTGCTAGCACATTTTCTCTAGCATTTCCTAGCGCCATGCCTGGGAATCTTAGAAGGAACAAACATGCACAAGCTACAGGCAGTAGCCTCTGTCCCACGCACCAGGGGAGTGTGGCACTCACCACAGGGACAGCAGGGGGGATGGAGGTTTTCTCCAGGCTCTCCTTAAGGTGGCTTATCTCAGCACGGTAGTCATCCAGCTGGCTCTCCAGCTTCTCCCTTCTGACTCGCTCATACTCCAGCTGGGCCTCCAGCTCCCTCACAGTCCTGTCAAAAGCAAAGGAGACAAGCAGAGCATGAAGTACATCCAAACCTGCCCTGGCTACTCCACGTGGTCCTGTGCCTTTGCCCGGGAGCAGGTTAGTCAGGCAGAAAGCAGTGCAGTACTCCTCACACCAGCTGTGCTCCTGGCTCCAGACCCTTTGTAGCAGCCCTAAAGAGCAGCTTTTCCCTCTCTGCTGCCAGCTGTGCTCAGCGCAATCTGACCACGAGATGGAGACGTCTGCCCACACACCGAGCCCAGGGCTCGGGCAGCCTGTAACCACCGGATCCATCTCCAGCTGCGGGAGAGGAAGAAGTGCCCAAGGAGCAGCTAACTTATTACGAAATTAGAGAAAAAGCGTAGGGCTGGGATTCTGGAAGGGTCAGGGGCAGCTTCTTCATCTACATCTGGTGCCACTTCCTATCGATTGGCTTAGACACGGATGAGGAATACTCAAATAACCTTGAGTATGACCCTTTCTCAAGGGAAACTGAGGCACTGGTTTATGCACAAGATCCCAGTTGCACAAGATCTCACTGGTCACACCCACAACGGCTCCTAATTACTTGAGATTCCTCAAACTGTTTAGCTGAGACATGATTCACATATATTCTTATTATAACAGCAATTGACCTAAGCAACTGAGTCATCTGGGATTGAGCTGGCTCTCTCCTACATCAGGATGAATTAGCACAACTACAAAGATGGAAGATCAGTGAAAGGGAGACATCTGCCCTATGGATTCAAACAGCATGGCAGGAAAGCTCTCATCAAGAGCTAGGGCATTTCCCAGAATGAAGAATTCCTGAGCCATGGGGCCCAAAGCTACCAACCAGCCTTACAGACACCACAAGAGTGGCCTGTGCTCAGTGTTCAGGGGACTGCCAACTTCTTGCATGCTTCAAATTAAAGAGGCACAGCTCCAAAACTGTGTGGCACACACGTGGTGGCAATTTGCTCCATGCAATGCAGCCTGGTTAAAGCACTGTGCAGTGGTTCACACAAGGCCTCTTACAGCCAGAAAACATGGACTAAAGCAGAAATCATCCAAATCTGTTACAGTGGCCTTCCCAAGTAGCAACTTCTGCTTTTAACCTAGCAAAATGGTGTTGTCATTAAATATTTTTAAATAATAGGTTTTCTGACCTACAAGCATCTTGGAGTTTATCCACAGATAGGTACACTAAGAAGGGTATGTGGGTATGCTGAGAAGCACTATTTCCATTTGAAAAGGATAGTTTTGGCCTAGGGATGCTTTCCAGCCTCCACAGGTGAGAAAGACTCTTCAGAGCCTCACAGTTTTTCTAGTTTAGCCACCCATGTCACAGAAAGCAATGCCCCTTGTAGAGCCTCATCAGAGCCCTCTAACAGGCACTGCTCTATCCAAAATGAATGCTAATGTATCCACCACCAAAAACAGATTTCTCCAGCATAGGCATCAACACCTCAGCCGGTCACCCTCCTTCTTTGAAGCCAGGAGAGACACTCCTAGACGCGATGAATCTCATCCTGAAATACCTGTCTAACACAAGTGCCTACATCTCTCCAAGAAGTCTAAAAAAAGGAGCTCAAGGTCCCTAACTGAGATGCAGGTATCTGTTAGCTACTGCAGACTTATCAAGTTAACAAAGATGGACTTCCAACCTAGGCTGAGTCAAAGGGTGACCTGGAACCAAAAGAAATCTTGTCTCAGTTTCTTGGCTCAGATATGGCTGTAAAACAAACTGCTTACTGGCAATCTGTGACACCCATTACCTGCTCCAGATCTACACAGACTAGTAAGTCTGCTGATGCATACAAGCCCTTTGGGGTCTCCTGTCAGTAACCAAATAAAGACAGTGATTTGGGGTGATCCAAACACATTATGGGGGTGGTTATCTACAGAGATAACTACTGAGATCTCTGGGTAGCCAAATCTTTGACAGGTAGAGGTGGAGACAGGCCTGTCTTTCAATGCTGCATTATTATTTAAGCTCTAAATCTTTGATAGACAGAAGGACTTTTCTTTGAAATGTAGACAGTCTGTCCATCAAATCACCTGACCTGTCTAACAGAACCTTTTGATTTAATGGAGACACTGAGAATTAGACAGACATTATGGATAGTGCTTTACAGGCTAGAGCAGACTTGCTGACAGTTCTTTTTTTTCTGTGGTCTGGATACAAGCTAATGCTTTCCTGTGCTTAGAAATATGTTGCCCTTGACACAGAAATGTAGCAGGTTACTGAATAATTTCTGCTGTATATGCACTTCCATCCAAGCCATGCTAAGATTAATTAATGTCTTTTTTCAGATTGATTAAAGTGCATACACTTTGGCATCCTCAGTGGAAACAAAACAGCCATGACTTATCAGACCTACTGCAAATACACTGCAGGAAAACCTGAAGGCTGAAGAGATGATCTTGCCCAAGAAGCGTGGACCTATCAAGCACTTCTGTTGAGCTAATTGTAGAAGTTCAGAAATGGTCAAATTGCTGCAGTCCATTTCTTTTTGACCTGGTTAAAGTTGGCGACTGGAAAAGACAGACTGGCCAAGGCAAATCTGAGTGTATGTCAGCCTTAAAAAAGGCTTTAAAATGGGGCCCACAAAGTTAAACATTAGGAGAGCAAAGTGACCTTACTTCTCGACTTTTCTTTCTTCTCTTTTCACCTTCCTCTCCTCCTCAGTTATTCCTCCCAGCTGTCTGTAGTTGCTGTAGGCAATTTCTAGAAGTTGCTGAAGTTCTTGAATCTTGTGATAAGCCCTCACTGTAAGACAGAGTTCTCCAGGTAGGTAAAATGCATGGACAAGACAGTCATGATGGAATTCAATAGTCTGGAAAACAGTCTCACAAACACAGAGCAGAAATCACACTGCTCAGCAAACACTGAGCTACAGCTGACACCCACAATGCAAAGAGATCTCAAAAACAAGAAGCAATCCAATATAGTTTCCAACATGGATTAAAATGGTGTAACAATTATGTTCTAATTGCTGTCTGCTATGTTTTCTAATTTTTCACAATTTGTTTGAATGCTCAGTGGTACAGATATCCTGTCAACTATCTCACCTTACAACAGAAAGGTCCCAGCAGTTAGCAGGAACTGTGCAACTAAAACTATAATGTCTTCATACCAAATTTTTCAAACAAGGAATTATAGGAATACAGTGCTTACTGCGTGCGTTCCTTTTCTCTGCTTTATCCAGGGTTAAATCTTCTTTGCTATCTGTACTCCCTTCCACACCATGTCTTTCAAAAAACTTTATGTTGTTTGCATCTAGTTCTTCATCACTAGAGTTACTGTCTCCAGTTCTTGGTATCAAAAGTTGCACAGCTGCAAGACGGGCACATCTGCACAGAGAACAGTTAAACCTACACTGAAATATCCCCATCATCTGGAAAAACACATGTGATAGAAACTCTCTGGAACTGTCCACGTTCCCATTTATCAGAGGGGTTTCAGGATTAAAGGAAGCACTGGTACACACACTGTGAGCAGCTATCTATCTGCTTTTCGCAATATTCTTATGGTGTGAGCTCTGCCTCAGTGGAATCTTATGGCAATGACTCCTATGTCAGAACTATCTTTTCTCTTTGCAGGATTTCTTAACTGAATCTCATCAGAAACTGCATTATTTTTATTAATGCAAAAATCAGCTGGCCTCCACTACTTCTCAGTAACTTGTATGGCAAACTGTGACCATACTGGCTCACAACTCTCCTTTTTCAGATCAGCTACTTTTCCTTTTTTATGTCTGACCTTGCTGAAAAGAAAATTAAAATAAAATAAGGAAAAATTAAAACCTTTCATAGCTACATTACAGCTCTGCTTATTACTCAGAGTTGGAATTCATGGGCCTGATCTGTTCTTTCTCCATCACTGAAAATCAGGATTAATTCCAACAAAGCTGACATGATATTGATATACAAATAGTAAGTAAATAAATGCCAGAGCTACAGGATATGTACTGCTACCTCTTGGCTACATCCTTTGGAGTCTCTCCAGCATCATTTGTAATGTCACAGTCAGCTCCCATTTCAATCAACCACTGTAAGCAATGGATATGCCCCTGTTCAGCAGCTAAAGGAAGAAAGGTGCACACAAGTCAGTTATATACAACTGCAGGGTTTCAAAGCTAAAATGTCCTGCTCTTGGCATTCTTTGGCATTCCAGAGGTTGGATTCACTAAGACACCACAGGGGAGATACTATTTCAAGAGAATGTGTCAAGATGCTCAAATCACACAGGTACACATAGTTTTGGGGAAGTGTGGTTCAGTGACTCTTTCTAGTTCCAGAAATGTACTGGCAGCTCTTCCTGGACACAAGTTAAACTAAACTTGCCCAGTTCCATGTGCTGAGCATGAGACACACAAATCACTGCTGCCTCACACTCTCTTGCAGTAAGGCCTGTGTGTCACAGTTTGGCAGCAAAGTGCTGTCACCTCTCCCTGGCTTTAGGCTCCCATGTACCAGACACAGCTGGTTGCCCCAGCCTGTGGTGTGCAGAGCTGTCTCATGGAGGAGAGCAGCAGGGCTTTGTGCTGGAGCTATAGGTGCGTCATGTCTTAGGGCAGACACTCAAGGCAACACTTCTCAGCAGCAGCCTCACACAAGCCCAGTCATAAGATCTGGCATGGCCACTGCTCATACCAGGTGGTGCCAGGAATGATGTCTCACATATGGAAGGTGATATTTGGCAAGTCTAGTTGAAACTGTACACTATTTTTCTCAAGGAAGAGTAATTTCATTTCTTGACAGCACTCCCTTTTGGATATTTGTTATATTTGTCATCTTACTGAGATAGGGAAATGGAATTACAATATCAGGATGTAAAATCTGGGGATGGAACAACTGTAGGTTAGCACCTTTCCAAGAAAAGAAAGTGGGAAAAAATGTAGAAAACATTATAAAATCACAACATATCTCTTTTTCCATGAGAACTTCAATTATGTTTTTAAAAATTCTATCATTATATCTACTCAGAAACAAATGTGGGAAATAGCAGTAAAAGCATATTACAAAAATGCCTCCGGGTTTCTTTCCTCTCCCATTTTTCTCTTTCAGACATCACTATGAAACCCCCAAACCCAAGAGGGCTATTTTTTCTGTAGTGCTAGCACGCCACTACATGTCAAGGTGTTAGATACCAGAAATTTACCTTCCTTCACAGGTAGTGAAGGTACCAAATTACTTCATTGTGGTTTTTACAAAACATCCCCACAGTACTGCTATGTTCAGTAAATAAAGGCCCAGGCCAAAATACAGACCAATCTTATACCTAACCAGACAGATGTTTCTAAAAGCCACATCTTGCCTGATTAAAAAAAAAAAAAAAAACCACACACACTAAACTACATAAAAACCCCCACTATTTAGTTTTCCTTTTAGATGTTGGTATCTCTCTATTATGAACTTTTTTTCTTGACTTCAGCTTGGTTATTTTGTCTTTAAAGTGACACCTACGCACACGTATACATCACAAAATATGTTTTTTGGGGTTGCACTTCTGAGCCCTCAGGAAATGAGACGCTGTTTTTCATCAAGTTCATCTGATGAGCAGCCACTTGAAAAACAAAGTAAACACGTCAGCAACAAACAGTAACAAGCTGAAACACAGATAGTAATTACTGACCTTTGTGCATGAGAGTGTATCCCTTATCATCCCGCTCATTGATATTGATTACTCCACTTCTCACTAATCTTCTAAGCACTAACAAGTCCCCTTTGAAAGCAGCGTCATGAGCTGGGAAAGCTAAAACTGAAAATGAAATGCACATGTTTCCAAACAGATGCCAGTAATTCTACTAAACGTGCTGGTATTTGTCTCTCACAGCTGGCCTCTCTCACAGCAACTTATGTAGGGATGCTTTGTATTTAACGAGGTTGTGCACCTTAATTGGCAAAATGCAGCTGTGTAACTAGCAGTGTTCACCACAGACTTGACTAAACATGTCTTGGTTATGACTGCAGGCATCTTACACAGTTAAGAAATTTATTTCATAGACCTGAAGTAACAAGTATAGCTTTGTTTTACGATTGAGATTGTACTACTGGTGGTAACTGGAGTAATTTGCCTGTTTTGAATTCCAAATATTTAAACTATTATACTTCTCATATTCATACAGACAATTTGATTTTCCCAGTTATCTTTTACAGACAGGGTCTACAGACAACATGCTTTTATGTATAATGAAAAAAGACTAGCAGATAGGGACAGTAAGTTCCCAGAAGTAGAGAGGTGAAGGTGCAGTTCTCATACCTGTGTTCTGCTAAGGGTTCTCCTTACAGACCTTGCCACATATGCATCCTTTGGCTGATCTGACTGCCATAGTATTGTTGGTTAGCAAATAACCTTAATTTCAGCAGGACATTTTCAGGCTAAGTTGCTATTCAATGCAAGTAAGAAATTCTGTGCAGACAAATCTGCAAACCAATGAAAGTTATACAGATTTTCTGGATCTTTGCTGGAGTCTAAAAGGAACACCGGCAATTTGGTATTCATAGTGCAACACAGTGTGATCATGGATAAACCTAAGACATTTATAAAATCACGCTGAGTATTCCAGTCTTTAGCTACCAGCAAACGTAGTAAGCATTAAAAAGTTCTTCCTTATTTTGATCATTTAAATGTTATACTTCTGCTCATATAAGTTTTCAGAATCAATTTTTTCTACAGAATTATATATAATGTCTATTTTAACTGTATCTTGATCCATACTCACCTTCCTGTGCCTCTGGATGCTCACCCTCTTTTTCCATACCATCAATATATTGCAGAATATTATCTTTATAGAACCGTTCAGCCAAGTCCCTTGGAGTCTCTCCTTGGTCATTCCTGGCTTTCAGTGTGTGTGTGACACTGGCCATTTTCCCAACCAAGAACTTAAAGCAATGCAGGTGTCCTTCCACTGCTGCCAGGTGGGCTAGAGCACAAGGTGAAACAAAGTGTATTAGAGCAGAGCCCTGCTGCCTATGGAGAAAGCAGTGCTCTCACCACTGGTTAGATCTGGATCATCCACCAGCACTTGAGCCATCCAACACTGCACAACAAGTAAGAGCAGCCTCGGCTCAATTGGGCATGTTCAGCTCCTATCCAGGACAGAGATGAGCTCTATGCTAAGGAGGTAGAAGAAAAGTGTCAAGGATAGGATCTGCAAAGGAGTTTCCCTGGCAGAGCTGACTGCAGGAAACAAAACAACACTCCCAACAGAGCACTGGACACTAGCTAAAAGAGTGCACTGCTGGGGTCTCATCTTCCCCATGAACACAAATCTCAGTCTTCAGCAGCTGTCCGACCTCGCTGTCCTGGGGGTACTCATTATGGAGGGACAGCAAGTGGTGTCCTTGATTAGGTATTAAGACCATTTCTGCTTTAGGCCCACTTCTACTGTGCCACCACAAACAAGTTGCATCACACCCTCAGTCACCTCAACTACAAAAGGAGGACAATGACATGCACTTTACTGGGTAAAGTATTTGAAGGTACATTCCTCACCTGACCTTCACGCCATAAAGAAGTTTAGTTATTTATTACTACTAGAGCGCTGGGCCTGTAACAAAGTAAGAGGTATCAAACACAAGCTGATTATTTTGAAATTAGTAATTATTCTCTAGCTCCATTAATGGGAAGAACTTGCCAAATAAGTGCTTATTATGTGTTCTCCACGACAACGCTCTGTAAAAGCTGGCTGATGTTCTAGAGGCCAAAGGATTAGTTTGTCTCCAGGTTAAGAATCTCACTATCTTCATTATCAATAAAGTGTACCCAGGATCTAGAAAAAACATGTCACTTCATTTTGAGCACATACAAATTCTCTACAGTAAACCATCCACAGCTTCCCAGAGTGTAATTGCTCTAAAAGGTGATGGATATTGGTTTTACAGCAAGATGGCAATACTTTGGTGCAGACGATTGCTCAAAATCTGAGCTCCACTGAAATCACGGCCATTTTTCCCATTGTCTGAATTTTATTCAGTGAGTGAGTTACAGGGAGAAGGGAAAAGAAGAGGTACAGTGCTAAAGGCAAGTACTGATTAACAGTCAGCTGGTGAAAAACTGACTCAACCCTTATGAATCCATTTTCAGATACCTAAAATCTCCAGGATAAAACTTCACCTCTTGGGATGAAACATTTTTATCAGATGTTTGTCCTGTGCAGAAAGCAATCAAAAAAGCTCAACATTTTCTGCAAAGATGGCAAGGGGAAAATAGATTAAAGAGCTGTGTTCTGTTCAAGTCTTTTTGCACAGTCTCAGTGGAATGCTGTGGAATACACATAAAGGAACTTTTCATAGGTGGCTTTTAACCTGTATGTGTCTTAGTAGCCAGTACCCAACATGAAACTGTGCCATCCCACCCTCAGTCATGCTGAGCACCTGCAGTTGAGACTAAAGTCAAAGGGTACTGTGATGTTAACACAGTAACATCAAAACATGCAGCTTAGTGCCAAGAACTTTGAAAAACCTTGTCTCAGGCATGACAAATAGGCAGAGGTTAGTTGGTGTTGGTATCCCAACCTCCCTGTGTTTCATCTTGCCTTTCATAAGTCAGGCTAACGCTACTCACCCTTCTCAAAGCCACAAGTGAAAAAAGAATGTGAAAAATATTTATAATAGGTTTGACTAGTGAGCAATAAAAGAAGTATGGATGTGGCCCAAAAATTAATACAGAGAGAAAGCGAAATGTTGAATTAATAAGCACAGCCCATTCTGTATGTTGAATGAGCCACAAGATTTTTTTCTTCCAAAAAATTAGCATGCAAATTAGCCAAGGTAATTAGACCCTCTGCTGTAACAAACACATGCAAAAAGTGCAGCCAGCTTTTAAGTTTAGATGTCTGGCACTGCAACCTCGGAAAATTTCTTTCAGTATTCTCTTAATAAAAATTATAGCACTCTTCAGCTAATCTTGAAGCTGAAGCATGTAAAGATGATTTAAGTTCACTTCGCTGTTACACAAGCTGAGGCAAAACTGATCTGTACAATATATCACTTCTACAAATCTAACTAAAATGAATACGCTCATGATTATGAAAAGAGAACATATTTACAGACAATAGAGAAAGACCAGTATTCCAGAAATCAAGATGAATGAACACACCACAACCTGATCACACTGCCACAGCCGTTAAAGCCTGGCACAAATTCAAAAAGTAGAACTTAGCAGCTGAAACTGCCTCCTGCTCCACCCACGCTTCTCCTGTGACCTCCACTCACACACCTGCTCTATCACACACATAGGAGATGCTGCCCTACGCAGTGCTCTCAGCCAGGCTCATACTGCTCCCTATTGCAGCACCCATGAGCTCTGATCCTTGCCAGCAGCAGCAAGAGGTGAATGGGATACCGTCAACAATAGAACAATACTTCGGACATTATAAATCCTCCCATCATTAGGAAAATGGGACTATCTATGCTATCTGCATGGAATCAGACAGCAAATGTTGCTGCTGTGCATTACTTAAAATTTGCTCAATTGTCACATCACACAACAACTGCAAACCAAAGGCTTAAAAATGTATGATTTATCCTGATGTACCTGGAAGGTTTCCATTGTTATCCACATCATCGATACACGCTCCCCACCGAACAAGAAGCTGCAAACACCCCAAACGACCATGAAAAGCAGCATAATGAACAGGTTTCCAGTCATTCCTGTCTGAAACATTTACATTCTAAAATGAAAGCAGCAGGTTAATTAATTCACTTCCGAATCTTAGACACAAGAGAAATTTTATATATAGTAATTGGCTGTTTATTGTGTTATATTATTTAAACCAAATAACATTTTTCAAAGTTCATGCCATATATGCAGTTCCCATTCCAAGACTTTTCACACTTTTACTTAATACACTTATAAAAGGTGCATTTTTAGAGATATTTTATCATCATAATGATCTGCATTGGTCATTACTCTTTAAATATGCAACTGGATTATTTTTTTTTAAGTTTATGTCTTCTTTACTATAGAAGATTTGTACAACTGTAAAAAATGAACACCACCCCAGCACCTGATCTTCATTTAATGACATCCTCAGTGGAATGTGATTTACTTACATTACTGATTACCTCTAGATTTTTGAATCATTTCCCTAAATGTATATTACCATTTTAAAAATGGAAATTTACCCTAAAAATAAATTCACCAATAGTAATTAATCTAAAATCCTAAATCTCAGTTTAAGCTAGTGAGAGTTTTGTTTGGGAAAAGCTACCAGCCTCTCTGTGCACTAGGGCACTGCAGGTAGGAGTGTCTCACCGCTCCACTTCTCAGTAGGGTCTGCAAGGTGTAGGACTGCCCGTGGGCTGCAGCCAAGTGTGCCGGCGTGCACCCACGGTCATCCCGAGCTTCTGCATTTGCTCCATTTATTAATAAAGCCTAAAAGAAATGCAAAGTAGAAGTTCATAAGCTGAAAAAGCAAACACTGGATGGGTTATGGTGATCAGCAGGACAACTCTGGGCTGACCTCAAGGTCCTGGCATTGCACAAAATAATCTGTTTGCACAGACAGTGCAAATGAGTGCACTGGTTTTAAAATGAGTGACTTTATTCCAAATGTTAAGACACCAAGATGAGCTACTCATAGCTCCCTTAGGAGCTTCCTCAACTGATCTTCATAATGAATTTGTCCAAAATCAAGGTCTGCCCTACATACTTTTGCTTGAGAGTGAATATTTACACATACCTGCATGCAGGCATCCTGCCCTCTGATGGCCGCAAGGTGAGCCGCTGTCCAGCCTCTGACAGTCACATGAGTTGTGTCAGCTCCATGCCAGAGCAACCAGTGAAGGCACTGCTCAATCAAAACCGAAGTGGCTTTTATTTAGCTGTTCATACAATATATCTGAGGCCCATTTTAACTAGAATTTATCTGTCAATGTTGCATTTCAAAACAGTACTGTAATAGTTCACTATGGAAATGAGACCCCAGAGCATGCCTTAGCCAGATATTTGTGCATTAGAAAGTTACAGGTAAGTTATACTTTCCAGGTTTTACCCAAGGGTACAAAATGTGCAAATAACCTACTAAATCAGACCCTAGCATTGATTTTACAATATGGCTTCCTAATTTTACTCTTCCTGATTTAAAATGTAATCTGTGAGAACATTCACATGGCTTGAGGTAAAAGCATTGGAAAAAAGAATGCAAACATCCTCACAAGAATTCCAACTAAAATTGCTTGTAGGCAAAATACCATGAACTAAATTTAAAACCTCATTTAATTTATTAGGCTCCTTAGCTGTCATATGTAATCCCATCTCTCTTCTCACTCTTTCATGGCCTAGTTTTGTTTTACTCACTTTGTCCAGCAGGTACTATTGCTTGCAATGGAAGGCTTTATGGACTATCCAGAGACAGCTAGAGGGACAGTTAAAACTTTTTATTATATATTATTATAATTTATTATTTTGTTTCAGGCCATCCTTCAGCTCTGGTTCCTCCACTATTTCTACCAAGGAGGGTAGAGACAAATAGATGGCAGATAATTGAAAAAAGTCTAATATATCAACTGCAAAGTAGAAGAGTCAAATGACAAACGACATAATTTATAGAGGTAGAAAAGGGTGGATAAGCAGTCTGTTTTTGGGGCTGACAAACTGATGATTAGCATTTTCTTGACAGTTTCTCTACATTGCAGAAGTAGCACTGCACTTAGTATTTCTTGAGTTTAGTAAGAACTTTCCATGCTTTTCTTTAGGATGTGAATGGCATTCAAGGTTAGATTGCTATGAAGACTGAACAAGGAGGCTGCAAGAAGAGGCACAATGTTGTGTTGAATACAGCAGTTCAACCTTCCTGGAAGTTCAAAACATTCATGCAAGCACCTGCTGCTTTCTTCATCATTATTTAACATTTTGATTTATTAAAATAAAATGTATTAAGACTACTTCTATAGAGAATGAGGCATGGAACATTGGTAAACAGAATGAACATGTTTTCATGTCACTTTTCATCTGTCTCAATCACCTTCAGAACATTTTACACATTCTGTAGGATTTTTTAAGTCCTTCAAGAGAAGAGGAAAACACAACAGGGACAAAAGGAGGTCATGAGTATGGAAGGGAGGCCATAAGGCACATTTTATTGAGTAAGAAAATCAGTGATTTAGTAAAATCTGACGAAGCTGATTAGGTGAAATGCCTGGGGCTTCAGAAAAAAAAAAAAAAGAAAATCTAAAATCCTGTACTTCTGCTCTATGTGAATATATTTAATGAGAAAAGCAGGCAGAGATTATTGATTCAGTTTGACCTAAGCCAGCAATGTTGTGTCCAGCCTCTCCCAAAGAAGGAAATATGAACTTACAAAAACCTGGCTGTGTATAAACACTAATGTAATGTTTTACCTCCAGACTTCCAGAGTGGGCAGCACAATGCAAGGGTGTGAATTTGTGGACTACATCCACCTCGTTAACACCAGCTCCACTTTCAATCATCAATGCAAGCTGTTCTACATCACCAGCTTTTACTGCTTCATGCACACTAGTATAGTTTTGCTTCTTCTCGACAACTAGTGAGGAAAAATAAAGAGCATTACTCAGTTGCTTAAATCAGAAACATTTAAGAGATAGATAATAAGTGAGGAATCAAAGAAACATCAGTGTGACAGCTTCACAAAACCAACTAAAATGTCCAGAGTAACAAAGGATTGAGATTCATATCAGTGGAATTCCTAAGTCACTGCTGTTTGTCAGGAACAAAACAATATGCCAAAACCTGAGACACCCATGCCCCTCCAGCCCCAGTAAAGGGGGGATTTACCCCCAGTAAAGAGTAAAACCCAGTAGAAAAATTACAAGAAGCACAGTAAGAGCAGGAAGTAGAGATACTCCATGTTAGCAAGTGCCACCCCAAAACTGTCTCTCTTCTTAAACTGTGGGTGGGCATCACAAACTCTTTCATTAATCACATTTACAAATATAACACCAGGAAGGCTTCCCACTTGTGCAAACAAGCTCTCAGCTGTCACTTCCCAGGTGCTCCACATGCTGCTGCTGCTGGCTGCATAAGGATTTAGCACAGCATGGCATATCACACTGGAGGGCACCAGAGCCTTCACCAAGTGAGCTTACTATGTAACTGCTCTTGACTGAGCTACACAGATCATCTTCAGGATAAACTGATGTCCAAATTAAAGGCAGTTCTTTATACAATGTGTTAGCCATCCTGTGTTGCTCTCTTGATAGAATTACACTATTGTTCTGGCACAGCTCACTTTTCAGCAGTCTGGTATTTTGCTCCCACCAAAGTCAGTAACATTTTCAGTGACCTCAGTGGCACAGAATGTAAAAGCAGTAGAGTAAAAAAAAAAAAATTCTGTCACCAGGCCATGGCATCAAATAACCTGTGTCCTTCTTCCCTTCAGGCTTTTCCATTGATTAACTACATGACTGGAAACAATGGGAGTTGCATATCCAAACCCCCTGGCAACATCTTGATATCTTGACAAAAACTTGTAAATAGAAATATGAGATGTAAGTAGATCTAATGACTGGGGGGACTAGCTGCAGACAGCCAAGCATGAAAGGAACCTAAACCAATTAGTATTCACCTTCTACAGTAGTCATCATTCCAGTACCAAAATGTACTAACACTGAGTGATTAGATTTCACGCTGTTAGAAGTCCTGAAGAGGTGGGCTACTGTTTTGCAAGTGAAGCAAGCATAAAACTGTAGGTCTTAAGTTATTAAGTGTCTCAGCTTCTCCACCTGTGGAGAAGAAACGGTAGCAGTAGACTGTTACACAATTTGAGGTAAAAAATATTAAATAATATAAATGTGATATTGCAGGAACATGTTTGTAATATATATAAAAAAGCACTAAATACAATTAAAAGCAGCTTGTGCAGCTTACCTGTGCCTATTTTCACGTGGTCTGTAGTGTGATAGTAGTGCTCAGGCAGATTTGGGTTTCCAACAGAGAGGAAAGAAGAGCTGAAGCTGTTTCAGTACTCCAGGCTGACAGGAACACACCCTGCATGTGCTATAACACACCATCAATCTTGTGAATGCGTATAACTCCACTCCCTACTCCCCTGCTCCCCTGATGCAGGCTGCATCATTGCTTCACTTAGAAACTGTGATTCCATCCTGCAAAATATTGTCTGAACAAACCAGCAGCACAGAGACACAGAATAATTCTGGCTGGAAGGGGCTTTGGGAGGTCATCTAGTTCATGTTTATGAATAATATTTAAGAATGTTTTGTAGTTTGAGTTGTTTGGTTTAGGTTTTTGTTCTTTGGTGTTTTGTTTTTGCTTTTTTTTTTTTTAGGAAACAGTATCACCAGGATATAATTTTCCCACAAGGGAGTAATTTCTCATTATAGCAAGTGAGAGACAGATTGCAGCCCAATTATACAACTTTAAATCCCAGGCAGACCTGGCTGATTACACTACTTGGCAAAATACTAATGTGTTTAACACAGTGTTACAGTGCAGCAACTTCAAGATCTTTTTTGGAGGGTTTGTGATGGGGTTTTTTGTTTGTTTTGTTGTTGTTGTTGTTGTTTTTGGTGGTGGTTTTGTTTTGGGTTTTTTGGGCTTTTTTGTTTGGTTTTGGTTTTTATCCAGAAGAAAGCAAACAAGGCCCACCAGTAGAAGAAATACTGTCTCCCCTATCCCTCTGAAGACCTGCAGCTGCATGAAGAGAGACACCCAAGGTGGATCACGGCTGCTTGACACAAGACAAAGACAGCAGCCCTGGGTCTGAAGTTCAATAAATAAATGTTAACATCAGTTCTGTAAAAAAAAATATACTGATTTTCAAAGTGAACGGGAGGCCCCATAATTTTAGTGCAACTTCTACTAAAAAAAAAAAAAAAAAAAAAAAAAAAAAAAAAGTTATCAAACACTCGACGTCCCAGAAGAAAACTGTGGAAAAAACTAACTAACGCTTTGGAGATCAGTATCTGCCCAAAATTCAATTAAAGAGATTAAGTGAAGAAGAACACGGCTCAGAACTGGGGAAAGAGGCAGCGTTAGGTGCTGCGACGGTCCCGTAACACACAAGGACAATCGCGCGCAGCTCGCCTTTGGCAGCAGCTCCAGGGCCGCGGGAGCCGCCGGCCCGGCCCGGCCCAACCCAGCCCGGCCCGCCGGGGCGAGGGCCAGGGGCAGGGCGGGCGAGCCCGGCCGGCCAGCGCCTCTCCCCGCGCTTCTGGCGGATATCGGAGCATCCTCGGCATGGGGGGGTGTGTGTGTCCCGGCGGAGCCCCGTGCCGCAGACCGCGGAGCTCCGGGGAGCCCCAGCGGGGGGACCGCGGCGCCGACTAGCCCGTACCCCCACCCCGCGCCACTCGGGGGCCGCCCCCCGCCCCCGGGCAAGGGAAGGGGGAAGGAGGAGTGGGCGGAGCAGTCTCACCGGCCGGAGTGGGGGCACAGCGGCCCCTCGCAGCGCACAGGGCCGGGAGTCACTCCTCTTCCTCCTCCTCCTCCTCCCCACCCCGGCGTTGCTATGGGCACCGCGTGCGCTTCCCCCGGGCTCGCCCTTCCCTTCCCTTCCCTTCCCTTCCCTTCCCTTCCCTTCCCTTCCTTCCCTTCCCTTCCCTTCCCTTCCCTTCCCTTCCTTCCCTTCCCTTCCCTTCCCTTCCCTTCCCTTCCCTTCCCTTCCCTTCCCTTCCCTTCCCGCGGGAGGAAAATGGCGGGCGGGGCCGCAGGCAGGGAGCAGGACGGGTCCCGCCGTGAGAGCTGCACTGCAGCTGCCCGTGCATGGCTGCAGCCGCAGAGCGGTGGTTTTCTGCACCTCCAGGCAGCCCTGGGCTACTGCCTGCATGGCATTCCCCGGGGAGAAGGGTAACAAGTACCAGTTCTCATCGCTGAACCCCCCCGAGATGCATTGACCAAGGCGTATTTAACCAGTTTGTGCTCTCCCTGCTCCATGATCAGCCTCCAGTCAAGCTGTATCTTTAAACCCCTTCTTAATTAATTTTTTTCCCTACAATGACAAGCCTGCTCCTCAGTTCCCTTAGCCAAAATCAGCAGGTGGTCGGAAGGAAGCTGAGTTCCTTTGCTGGGACAAAAAGGACCCTGCATTTCCAGAATTCTGCTTCGAGGCAAGATGAGCCTGTCCTAGTCAGATTTACAGGTGTGCAGCAGCAACTACATGGACCAAGGGAGCTACATTTAGAGCCTAATTATCCTTGTCATTAAAGAGTTGTCATAAAGCCTCTTGCTGCAACATATATGCCTCTTTTTGTTTAATCTCTAGTAGACAGAATAATTTTCCCTTTTTTCTAACAGCCTTGTACAGAGTTAAAGACATCTTTGCTCAGTCTCCTCTGAACTTCAGTTTGTGTGATTTAGGAGAAGTTTACAGTATTCCAGGACATAAAGCGTCATTTGGGCGTGGGTCAGGCTACATCCCTGCTCCAGGAAGAAGCTGCAACAAATAACACGAGTAACTTCCCCACAGCACAGCTTGCAGCCCCATACACCACCCTAAGGACTAACATAACCCTGATCCATCGTGTACTTTTGTTCCTCTGGACTGTGTCTAATTGAATAGCACTTTTAAGGCTGGTATCTAGAACAGGGCGCACTCACTACAGCTACAACCTTAATACAAGAGTCAAAGTATTATTTGCATCTTAAGAACTGCTTGAAGCCTGACTGTGAACATGAGAAGAAGTTTTTGCAGCCAATAACATCACCTATACTGATTATTTCTACTCATATCATGCACTAAGAATTCTGACTCCCAAGTATCCCTACTGCAAGAGTTAACACACTAGGACTTGGGACATTGATCTCTTAGTACTTCTGCCTTGCTCCCAGCAGCTTTAAAAATATGCACACTATGCCTAGCGGAGTGAATGAAACATGTATACTGTCCTAAAACACACAACTATGATTATTTCCAATCCCACAAATGTACCAGCCAAACAGATCCATTACTGAAAGAAAGAGACTCACACTCAAATCTATGCTTAATTTTATTTATAACATTTAAGAAATATTAACATCTCAGGATATCTGGTTTACCATCTAAGTTCAGTCATAATAAGCAACAAAAAAGAAAATGTTAACCATGTTTCAAATGAGCATTCTTACATTCATTCCCTCCTGTAACGTAAAGAAAAGTGTTCAGCTTTCTTAAATTTATGTGTTTGACTAATGGAAAAACCAAAAATCATTAAAAATGTCTTAACTACCAGGCATCCTGGTTTGTTAATTTTTTTTGTTGGCACTTGTGTTCACCACAATCAAGCACTCCAGTTGGTTTGTTAAATTTTCCCTTTATACCCAGAACTGTCTTCTTGTGACTTTTTTTTTATTATTATTATTTTGATGTTGTTGTAATTGTTTTTTGAAACATCTGGATATGTAAGTTTGTTCAAACAAGTTTAAAAAGACAAGAAATCCAGGCTTGTCTGTCTGAGAAGCTCCTTCCCTTGATAACCCACCTATCAGATAACTGAAGGAAGAGACTTGCTTTCATTTTTCTGAATATTAGGCAAAAATTCATTTTAATTAATTTTAAACTGAAAAAAGTACAGAAACACACGCTTCATTTGATGGTGTGCATAAACATTACACTCCATATATAGCAAAAATATCTTTTATTTATAATTTACATTTCAACAAATGAAAATTTTACATTTTTACATATACCATTAAATTTTCACGCATCTACAGAACTTTCACACAATGACACCTGAAACTGTGCAGGCAGTAAGAAATTTCAAATACAAAAATGTATTTATTAACCAAACAGTAGTTGAGGCCCTGCCTCAGTTGGACATTTTTATTCATATAAAAAGTATTTGCCTTCCAGAATTAACACAGCAGCTCTTCTGTAAAAAAAAAAAAATTCATACCTCAGTTTATTTAAACAGATTCCTCAGGTTCTGTTTTTATATCTGTAGATGCAGGTGTGCTCTCTTCTGCACAGGCAGGAGGGGTGTCATCAGGTTCTTCTTTGATTTTAGGTGAGTCAGAGGACTCTTCTGTTTCTTGTTTAACAATGTCCAACATTATATTTAGTGGATTTTCTGAAGGAGTCTTGCTGGGAGATGGTGTGCAGTCAAATGATGATGTCTGCAAAGTTAAAGTCAACGTAGCATTAGCACATTAAAATGACAATTTTTAGCTTTTTATCCCTTTTGCCGTTTTTCAAAATGCAAACAGGTTGATGGACAGGCACTCAAAAGCCGAATTTCTGCTTTACTGAGTTCCTAAGAAAACAAATTTATTTTTTGAATAGCATTGCTTTTTTTCCAATTCCTTTGAAAAGTTACCACCAAGAAGCAATGAAATGCTTAACACATTACCATGAACTGTTCCCTTCTATGTGCCCTCAAGGCAACTCTAACTCCCAAAGCACTGAAAATATCACACACCCCAATACCCAGCTACTTGATTTTTACAAATTCCTAAGACTACGCATGTTACTCAACAATAAATTAATCAAACCATGGCTTTGCTTTATGGCACACAAGCTGTCATGATACCTCACAACCAGAAATGCATCTTAGCTAATTCTGTATTATAAACTTGCCACACCCAAGGCCTCCAAGTCTTAGGCATGAGAAATGGGCAGTATACTGAACACATCTGCTCCCTGCAAAGGCAGAGATTCAAGCAAA